AGGGGGAGAGCCTTCTCTGTCGGAGCACCCACCCTCTGGAACGAGCTGCCCCCAGAGATCCGGGTGATTCCGGATCTCCCCTCCTTCCGCCGCGCCCTCAAGACTTGGTTATTTCAGCGGGCAGGACTGGCCTAGGGGTATTTTAATTGGTTTTAACAAAATTTTAGTAGAAGCGGCCTATTCAAATATTTATTTTTAAATCATTTTTAAATTTTGTATGGTATTGTATTATTGTTTTTAAACTGGCTGTAAGCCGCCCTGAGTCCTCCGGGAGAAGGGCGGGGTATAAATTTAATAAAATGAAAATGAAATGAAAAATGAATACCAAGGAGAAAGCCACATCCACATTAATACTGACAGGGCCCACTGCTGTATATAAACAGGAAGCAAATTCAACATTCACTAGCATTGATTATGTTACCTAGCTGGATATTGAAACATCTGCAAGCAAACAAGCTCAGCCAGCATAATAAATCTTAAATGTGACTATTAAAGTTACTTTCTATTGAATCCAAAAATGCCCTACAATAGCAGAAGGTCCTGGCCTTGCATGAATTTCCGAGACCAGTGAATTTGGGTACTTTGTTCTTCTCCTAGAAGCCTACTGGACTGAGGGAAGAGGTGGGACAGGAATTTAGTCTTACCCAATCAAAGAGAGTGAAAGAGAAAAGAAAGAACGCAGTAGCTGACAATAGAACAGCTGGACTTACATTGAATCAAGTCTGGGTTCTGCTGTTCATTCAGCTGTGATATAGCACAGCTTAATCTACTAGCCGAAGCAAAAGGTTTCCAAACTTTAATATATACGTACATACTTTGTCATAATGCATAACTGAAAATTTGGGAACTGAACTTAATAAATTCAGAGATTGGATGCAGTCTTGGGGTTATCATAATAATTCATCTTTTTATTATTTATACTTTGGGATGGGTTTTTTTGTGTGGCTTTAATTATATTTTGGTTTATGTGTTTTATTATAAACTCCTGTGAGTTGCAAGATATAAATGTGCCGAATCTATAAAATAATAATGAATTGTATTAAATTGTTCCAAGGACACAGTTTTCAGGAAAGAGCTAATTAACTGAAATAAACTAGGAAAACTAGGATTTCTACAGTGGTTGCATAATATATACAGTTGTTACAATGCAGAGCAAAATATTCATAAGTAAATGAATCTTTGAATCCCACAAGGACTAACCTCTTAATTCATGTGATACCATTTTGGCTGCTGGCGCTATTTTGTTTCCTTGCCTGTACAAAAATTGAAATTCTTTGTTGGGACTGCTCCTGGGTTCAGGTTAGGGACAGATAATCATGGAGAATTTCTATGTGGATGCTGAGAGTCAATACTAATTTGATGGCATGTAATCAATCAGTCATTCTTGGGTTCAGATATGTTTAGCCAGTTCTAAGACAGTTCCTCCAATTATACGTATAGGCTACAGGTCTTTGCTTTGGAATGAGGATTCCGATCTTCAGAAAAGAACTCTATTAATAAGGTACTTCAGATTTCAAAGAAACAGGGTATGGAATTTTGTACGCTTATTTGTAACTTCTGCACTTTTGCACAATAAACCTTATTTAAAGCATAAGCCAGCGGATTCAGCTTTTTTTAAAACCTCATTGATCTCAATAGGGGAGTTAACCTGTCTAATTCATATAATCTGCTATATACAATATGAAAGTATTTAATTTGGACAAAAATATTGTATTAACACAGTGGTCAACCTACTATCTTCTCTTTAGATTTAACATGCCCCATGATGACAATAATAAGTGCAAAGAAGAAGGAGGAAAAAGCCAGCAACATGTTATGGCTCCCACCCTCAACTACAACACTAACCCCTGGATGTGGTCAAAATGTAGCCGTAAATACATCACGGAATTTCTGGAGTAAGATTGTGATTATTTCTTGGTGCATGTCACATGATTTTTAAAAATACTTTATGAGCTGCTTTTGGCATAATATGTGGGAGAGTGACATGTAAATAAATAGGTGATGGTAATGATATACTGTAGGCAAGTGTCTAATGTTCATGTCTCTCTCTCTGTATAGGGTATACCAAAATACAGGCCACATTCACAGTTTATTATATGCATTACGTTACATGTTTGAATTGGTTGCCATTTTCTTCTAAATGCTTCTTCATTTGTTTCACATATACTGTAGCTTTTGAATATTCCTAAGTGATGTAACATTTTTTTCCAGAAAAAACTGGCTTTTTACACATATAATTGAATGGAATAAAATGGAGTGGAATATAAGAGTGGAGTGGAGTGGAGTAGAGTGGAATAGAATAGAATAGAATAGAATAGAATAGAATAGAATAGAATAGAATAGAATTAATTGAAAACTTGTTGTAAAGCATCCTAAGGGGTGATAAAGGTGATTATGTTGTATTTCAAAGGGATGATTAAGATGCCATTATTTTGATTTATTGTTTTTGATTTATCATTTTATGATTATGTTTTATAGTTATTGGTTTTTAGTGCTGTTGCGAGTCACCCAAAGTTTTTTTAACTTGGGTGGCTATATAAACTTACTGTGATTGCCCTATGCGATTGAATTTTGGTACACCTATAAAGACATTAATGAAATTTACTGTGTTATTTTTCCCTAAGTGTAAACTGGCTGAAATCATTTGAGCTAGGGCAGGATAGAAAGGTTGTTATAACTAGCACACTACATAAATTTAGGAAGCACATAGCGAATGCCCATACACATATGCACCTCATCTCCTGAGTCCTTTCTGCATATGATATGTGTGTGGAGCATAAGATTCATGGGGATGAATTCCTATCCAAACTTTTAGTTTTTCCTTGGTAAAGTCCTAGATAAAAAGAAAGAACTAAGTGACAAACAGCAGAAGCCACATGAAACATGGAGGGGGGGGGGGAGAGAACATTTCCCTGAAAAATAGTGTGATCACAAAACCTGGACCAAAAAAAGTTGCAATAATTTCTTTTCCTAATGCTAGACTGTGTATTTTGTTGTTTTCCAAACAGACTCCTCTCCTCTCTGGTTTTTCTTAGGTGTTTTCTAGCTACTGAGCAAACTGATTTTCCAATGTGTTCTTAAGGGGCAAAAATTCTGTTTTTGTAAGGATCTTCTACACATTGGGGAAAGGGTTCCATCACATAGTAATATCTTCCTCTTGTTTTTTATCCTTCCTTGACTATACTTTTCCTGATACTTGGTCGCTGAGTTTTATATCAAAGAGAGTAATAAAGAGGTTCATTTTGTAGTGCAGAACCCATATCTTTCTCCCAGAATAATAGTGCTAGCTAGGGCTTGGCATTTTTCCAAAATTCTTTGGAAAAATTGCCAAATAACTCGCAGGAGCCCAGTATCTCTACAGTTCATTGAAGAAGCTCACTTTTTTTTCCAGTCGAGTGAAAAAATAGACGCTACTGCTTTACAGTTAATGCAACTCTTAAGTCAGTCCCATCTTTTTTTTTCCACGCACGAAAGCTCAAAAAATATCTAGCTGTTTAATTAATAGCAGCAAAGTTCTATGCTCACAGGAGATCTGAAGCCCTTCTTCCAAATCATTTTTGAAACAAGCTTTGAATTTTAATGTATACTATAGTACTATTCTTAAGAGCAGGTGCATGTCATGAAATGCAGCATTGATGGTGTGATAGCGATTGTTCAGTTGTCTGACAACAATATGAACTGAATGTTTTACTTACTACGGACCAAGTGTTATCTGTTCAGTGTTAATTTTCTCCTGATTATCTGTTAGAGGGAGATTTTAAAATAACCTTAATCTACTATAACACTATGGTAGTGAAGATAACTGTAATGCTTTTCATTCTAGCACTGGATACGGGGAGTGTTTGCTTGATGAGCCTTCATCAAGAACCTACACTTTGCCTCAACAACTTCCTGGTCATATGTATGATGTCAATAAGCAGTGCGAGTTAATTTTTGGGCCTGGAGCTAAGGTTTGCCCTTATATGGTAATGTATTTTTTTTTACTTCTTTGGTTTGCTTATAATATGAGCAACTGTTAGGTTTATCAAAAGGAAAATGCCTGCTTGGTATCCAATATTTGGATCTGGAAAAAGACCTTACTTCTAAAAAACATTATGGTCTGACCAGTTTGGATTTCAGTTTTTAATTCCCCAAACAGATTTCTACAATATTCTGCCTTGTATTTACGTCCAGGCATTTGAGATGTATACAGGTAGTCCTTGGCTTACAACCATTTGTTTAGTGACTGTTCAAAGTTACAGTGGCACTGAAAAAGGGACTTATGACTATTTTTCACACTTAGGACTGTTGCAGCATCCCTATGGTCACATGATTAAAATTTGGGCACTTGGCAACTGGCAAGTATTTATGACGACTGCAGTGTCCTGGGGTGATGTGATCACCTTTTGCGACCTTCTGGCAAGCAAATTCAATGGGGAAACCAGATTAGCTTAACAAACAATTTTACTAACTTAACAACTGCAGTAATTCACTTAACAACTGTGGCAAGAAAGGTCACAAAACTCACTTAACTGTCTTGCTTAGCAGTGGAAATTTTGGGTTCAGTAGTGGTTGTAAGTCAAGTCTACCTGTAGGTGAATTGAGCCAGTCATTGCCCTCAAACAAACAGCACCTTAGGAATTTTGTCAGCCTTCCCTGGTGTGGCTCATGAATTCCATAGCCTAGTACAATATTTCTCAACCTTAACAACTTTAAGATGTTGACTTCAACTCCCAGAATTCCCCAGACACCATGCTGGCTGGGGAAGTGCAGGAATTGAAGTCCAGACATCTTAAAGTTGCCAGGATTGAGAAATACTGACCCCATTCTCCATCACTGGAGGTTTTCAAGAAAAGACTAGACAACCATTTTTCAGGATGGTATAAGGACTCCTATCTTGGCCATAAGGTTAGACTAGAAGACCTCCAAGGTCCTTTCCAGCCCTATGATTGTGTGATTCTAGTGAAAGAAGGTTATAGTGTGTGAGTGTAATAATCTCTAAAATTAGATTGCGTATTGGATTTTTGAGAGAAAAATCCATTAGTTTAAAAAGTGGGGAGCTTCTTTGCAGATTTTCACAGCCACCTGCTTATACAAGACAGATATCTTACAGAGTTGTTGTTTTCTTTATAAAGCTATAGTATGAAAGAGCTGTGACTGTTAATGTCACACTCATGGCTTTTTGATTATTTAATCAGGGCTGAGGTGACATAGAAAATGACTAATCAGAAGAGTTGCAGATTAAATGCATCACTAGTTTTATCAACATGTGTTAAATGCCTTCAACAGTCACACATGTACAGTACACACACATACTGTAATTTCAGCTTTGAAAGGTGGAATCTGTTCTTGTAACTTGGATGCATAGATTGGGACTTGATGTAGACATCCTTCAGAAATGTGGGGTTTCTAGCTCTGGATGTTAAACGTTCCTATTTATTTAAACAATAAACAATAATCTATCTAATCTGACTACGGTAAGTCTTATCAACCCTTATATGACTTGTGAAGCAACAGAGTTTTCAAGACCTTCTTGAGAAGCAGAACATTGGGGACATTCCTTACCTCAAGAGCAGGGTGGTCACTGAGAATCCTTGAGACTCTACCCTCCTCATCTCTTATGGATAGGGCATGTGCTTTCCCTCAAAGATGGCATGGAATCAGCCATATGTAGGGTTGGAAAGACGTTCCATATAGCTACTTTTGCTCCAAACCATGCAAGGCTTTAAAGGTAATAACTAGCATGTTGAACTGGATTCAGAAGCAGAGTGGTAACCAATGCAACAAACACAACATAGATGGTAGCATAATTGGATCTTGTTACTCTGTAAGCAGATGGGCCACAGCCTTATGTACCATTTGGAGTTTTTGGGGTAATGCATATACAGAATGTTATAATATACCAGATGACGAGGGTGAAGTCCATCATGGCCCTCTCCTCCATTGATACTGTAATAGGAGTTTAGAATCCCGAGGACTCCAAATTACAGACCTGTAATATAAACCAGAATCAAACTTGGAATGAAGCTTCATCCAGAATATCACTGACAACTCCTATCTTTCAGAGGTTTAATCTGAGCTTGTTTTGATCCATCCAGGCCATTACAGCAAGGATTTCTGTGGTATCCCTGATTTGCTTTAGGGATATCAGTATTTGACTAGGTGTTATCATCATATGATAATTTCTCATTCCAGACTTAGAGATGACTTCTCCTTCACATCCAGTCAGTATTGAACACCATTGGCTCAAAAAAAAATGTTTCCCCTAGAATCTTTTATATCTGGAGTCCCCCCCCCCCCAGTATCTGGAAATTGGTCAATAGTTATTCAAAATAGCTGGACTGAAAGATGGCTTCTTCGGGAAGATGTATACTTGGTGGCAGTCTTACTCAATGCTATCATCACTGGTGAGGCATGCAGCATAGACATGCAGGATTGCTAGGAGATTCCCTAAGATCCTGGAAAGGATTACTACTACTCAGTAGTAATTCCCATTGAACTTAATAAGACTTACTTACACTATATTGTATACAACCCAGAATAATAAGTAGCCTTTGTAAATAGAAATTACAGAGGAAGCTGAGTGAAATTCTGCAGAGTTGTAGCTTATATCTGTATTTTTAACACTGATAAAAACAGAACAATATGTAAGACAATCTCTCTCATAGGAAATAGTGACTGGTAATCTGTGTAAAATGTTTTGTTTTAATGGGATTGATTTGAAAGCATAGGACACTCAAGTCTTAATAATTTGGGGGCCATCTGCCTTTCTCAGCTGTAGCTTATTCAACTCTTTCTTAATAATCATGAAATTTAAAAATAGAAACCATTAATTACTTCAAGGAAAGAGAATACATGAACAGTCCAGATGGAGTACAGATCAGATATTTCAATAAGAATCTGTCAAATTTGAGGGTAATAGAAATGTTCACTATTTCTGATTTTCAGGCTTTGTTCATTTTGTACTTCAAGAGGAAGTTTTTAACCAATTTTTTAATAATGTGATTTCTGAGCATTTTGTATGGGCACAGGTTTAGCTTTTAAATCAGGAGGTTAAGACATTTGAGCCAAAAATGTCAGCATTTGCAATCTTAGCCAAGTCACTTCCTCTAGTTTATTGTGCGCATTGTTTATACTTCCTTTCTCAGTGATGGTAATAACACCAGGGAGATAATCTAAAATAAGTATGAGGCCTATAGCATATGTTATACTGGCTGTTGAGTAATGCTGAGACCATTTAAAATCACTTAAGCAGAAGCAGTGCAGAAGACTATGGTGCATTAATGATGACGGAGCACATAAAGGATGTCGTACACAACACACACCGTGGGCAGATGGGACGGACTGTGGCCTGGGAAAGGTTGGTCTCTTTGCTCTACCTCTTGTCATTATTGATGTATTTGATTTTTTTTATCCCACCTTTATTTTTTTGTAAATAACTCAAGGCAGCAAACATACCCAATATTCTTTCCTCCTATTTTCTCCACAACAATTTTATGAGGTGGGTTGGGCTGAGAGAAAGTGACTGGCCCAAAGTCACCTAGCTGGTTTTCATGTCTAAGGCAGAACTAGAACTCACTGTCTCCTGGTTTTTAGGCCAGCACTTTAACCACTACACCAGATAATGGCATCCATTCATTGAGAATATCTTAACCATTTTATTGTTTGATAGCAGCATTTTTAAATTGTTCTATCACCAGGCTGTACTCCTTCATAGACCAATTCCTATTTGCCTATTCACTAGGAGAAAAAGCTCAACCTTCTCTTTTGAATGAGATATTTTCCTTTCTGTAATATCCAACTTTATATGGGTAACCATTGATAAAAGGACTGCGTGAAGGCTATTTCACAGATTATTTCTGTGAGGGATTCTCCCATATCATCTCATAACATTTTCTTTTTAAACGCTATTGAAGGCAACATCACACCACAATTAATTTGGAGCAAGCAGCTTTAGTGCAGAGTACCGATACAACATCTGGAACCCAGTTCCCTCAGTTGGAGAAGTTTATCTTCCTTTTAAACATTTTCTATGTTCTCTAACCAAAGTGAAGCAAAATGATTTGCTTCAGAGTTGCAGACTTTAAAACTCATGGGTGTATATAATTAGTAAAAAAAAAATTAAAAAGAGAGTTAAAAAGACATAAAACCTGACACACCGAGAAAAACCCTGAAATTTAAAGCAAACATGTTATAGAAATGTCTGCTTTAAGCCTCTTTCCTACAGCAGACAAACTCATGTGACGTGTTAGACATACTTTATGTGTGAGAACACTGAGCTGGATAGCATTACATCCAAATAATAATCCAAACTCTAAACTTTTCAGACAAATATATGCTGTGCAGTATTTGTTTGCTTTACTTCAGGGTTAGCAAGCTGCTGCTGCTATGACATAAAAAGCAGATATAATTTTCCGAATATAATTGTTGCATTGGATTTGCACATCCAAATGGGAAATACCATCTGTAATTAAGCTTCTCATTGAGACTTAACCATTGGTGGGAACTCGGTCATAGTAAATTTCTCACAGGAAATGGCTTGCCTTCCACTGTTAACTTCTGATGGTTTAGAATGCCTGGTATCAATCCATTCTGCAGTGGGCACACTTGCTTTTCAACAATTTTATTTCATATGGAGCTGCAAAATATTCTTAAGGGATAGTGCTATGTCAATTAACACCTTGTCTGTGTTTTATTGATGTCAACTGTGGTACTAACATGCCAGCGCAGAAGGTTAGTGCTTC